CTTTCTCTTCCCATTATGCAGCTGTGGGCTATGCCCTCTCTTATCAGATCGTTCCCTAGGCAGCATCTCTTCCCTCCATCTCCCAAGGTCATTCCCACACACCATTACACTTTGTCTATAAAATGCTTGTACCACTCAACCAGTTAAAACATACAATGGTGATTTAAAACAAAAATACAAAACAAAGCATCAGTAAAACAGTATGATCAAAACATTCATACAAGGCCACAAGACATAAGCCACTCAATCAAAGAAGACTTCCAAACCCATCAAAGGGACCAAGAACCTGGGTGAAGAGATCAACCTTATGCAATTAGCATCCTCTTTCACCTATTTTTGAGGAGGGTCAGCAGTGGAAAAAAAGAGAAGGTGGAGCTGGGCAGAGACAATGGAGAGATGTCTCTATCCATATCTGGCTTTGGCACCAGCAAGTAGTGCCAGATGGATCACCCCTGGTCTGATCATCCATTCGTCATCATTCAGAAAAGAAGCAACTTCTTCACATACCATTTTTGAAATTTGGTGATGGCATCTCTGAATATAAAATGAAGGAAGCAATGTAAGAAGCATTGATTTCTACTTTGTTAGATGCAATTTTGTTCTGCAGGTGTATTTTGTTGGAATATAGGACCCCCTCTTTGACCCATTGTCTGTGCAAGGAAGCTGATACCACATGCTGAAGCAGAAAGTTAGTACAAACAAGAAGCTGACACTAGACACCGATGCAGGAAGATGGTAGCTGACCCGTGCTTTCTCATGAGGAAGAGCTGAAAACGACAGCAAGGGCAAAGCATTCCATAAAGAGCTGATGAAGTCCCATTGATTTCGATTGCATGCCATCAATTTGGTATTGACTTTTAGCGAGCGCTTAGACAGGTTTTCTCTGTGACGTTCTGTCCCTAACCTGGTCCTTCAGGTCTTCTAATGGTGCACCCATCACTGCTGTAACTGACTCTATCCACCTTGCTGCTGGTGGTTCAGTTCTCCTGTCTTCACCCTTTCCCAGTATTACAGCTTTCTCCAGAGAGCTAGGTCTTCGAAGTAGGATAATTTGAGCCTGGTCATTTATGCCTCAAGTGAGAACTCTGGGTTGATTTGTTCGAAGAACCGTTTGTTCTGGGCCATCCATGGTATTCTCAGGAGCCTCCTCCAGCAACAAAATTCAAAAGTGTCAATACTCTTTCTATCCTGCTTCTTCAAAGTCCAACTATTGCTTGCACTATTCTGATCTTTGTAGGTATAAAGATATCAAGACATCTGGGAATCTTTTCCAAGGCCTTCATGGCTGCTCTACCAAGCACTGGTCTGCAGCATATTTCTTGCCTGCTTGTTCCTTTAGAGTTGATGGTTGATCCTAAAAGGCAGAAGCTCTCCACCACTTCAGTGTCTTCATTGTCAATTCTAAGGTTGATTGGTCTACCTGTTGTCATTAATTTGGTCTTTTTTATATTTAATTTTAGTCTCATTTTTTCACTGTGCTCCTTAACTTTTGTTACAAGAGCTTGCAGGTCATTTGCATTTCTGGCTATCAAAGCCATCCTGTTACAGGCCCACAAAGAGCTTTGTGAATGCACTCCAAGGATGAGCACAAGGCAGCCACTGGAGGAAAGCTCTTTAAATGAGAAAGGACAAAGTCATGGACGTTTGGTTAGTCATGACTTAGGATGGCTCCATGAGACATTTGGATCAACACCTTTGTTCCAAGCACCTCTCATCTTCCAAGCTTACGAGTCCTTTTTGTAAACCCTCCATAGAACTGTTAGCAGACAAAATATTCCCTTAGTAAGAATTCAAGGATGGTCATTTGGGGTGTGATGGGGAGAGCCCACAGCAGGCCGAAGGGTCTCCCTTCCAATGGAGCCCCCGCAGCACTCGCTCACGAATCTGCTTAGTCCTCACCCCATAGATAATGGGGTTCAGGGTCGGTGGTATCAGCAGGTAAACATTGGCCACAAGGATGTGCACGTGAGGTGGGATGCTCCCATGGCTGAAGCGATGGGTGAGGAAGGTGAAAACAGCCGTGCTGTAGAAAACCAGGATGACACAGATGTGGGATCCACAGGTACCCAAGGCCTTAAGGCCAGCCTCTTTAGATGGCAGCTGGCAGACTGTGCGCAGGATTAGGCCGTAGGACAGCCCGATAAAGAGAACATCAAAGGCTCCGATCAGAGACGCCACCGTCAGGCTGTAGGCCTTTGTGACTGCGGTGTCTGCACAAGCCAGTTTGACCACAGCCATGAACTCGCAGTAGCTGTGGGCAATGACTTTGGGCCCGCAGAATGGCAGCCTCCCCACCAGGAAAGGATGTGGAGAGAAGAACACCAGCCCCCTGGCCAGGACTGCACTGCCTATTGAGGCAATGCGGGTGCCTGTGAGGATGGCAGTGTGCCTCAGGGGCTTGCAAATGGCCACATAGCGATCATACGCCATAGCTAGGAAGAAGCCGGATTCCATGGCGGTGAAAGAATGAATGACAAACATCTGGACCAGGCAGCTGCTAAAGCCAATGCTCCTGGCATCAAGCCAGAAGATGGCCAGCATCTTGGGCAGCGCTGAGGTGGAGAGCACCAGGTCCGTGAGGGACAGCATGCAGAGGAAGAGGTACATGGGCTGGTGGAGCCTCGCGTCCATCTTGATGAGCAGGAGAATGGTGCAGTTGCCCAGCAGGGCCACCAAATACAAGGAGCCAAAGGGCAGTGCCAGCCAGGCATGCAGGGTTTCCAACCCGGGGATGCCCAGGAGGAGGAAGGAGGAGGGAGCCGTGGGGTTGAAAATGGAAAAGTTGGAGGGAGGGGGCTCCATGCCTGGCCTGGCAGCTCCGGCCCTCCTAGGAGGAACCAGTGGGATGATAACCAGGATTACGAGGAGCTGCAAATAAGAATGGAGGAAGATTCAGGGTGAAGGACATTTTTGAGCAAAAATACAAGCCAGGAGTTGCCTCAGGAGATACAACAGTATTGTCAGGATCAGATTTAATCTAACATTTAACACATTGGTTAGCCCTGACTTTCCTTCAAGAAACCACTCCCCTTGTTAGCTTTCCTGTATCCTCACCACCCTTTCAGAGAGGTAAGGCTGGCCCCTCATCAGTGCCCTCCCCACCTCTGCCCTGATGCTCTGACGCTCAGGACAAACAGAAGAACACAACACTGGGGGGAAATGTACAGTCTCGCATCGGGGGGTGGGGGGTGGAAATGAAGGGGGAAAGATCTACAGTGAGGGAGCCCTGCCTTGCCAGGCGTATATCTGAAAGGGATCTGGGTGTCCTTATCCACCACAAATATTGCCAGCTGCAGTGCAGATGCTTAAGAGGCAAATGCTACTTTAGGACTTATTTTACATGGCCCCAGGGGGCAGAACCAGAACCAGCGGGTTAAAACTACAAGGAAGAAGATTCAGGTTCAAGCTGTGGAACAGGTTGCCACCCGAAGTGGCGAGTCCTCCTTTGCTAGACGTCTTCCAATGAAGGCTGTCGAAGAAGCTCTGGTGCGACTGGCCCTGAGCCCGGGGTTAAACGAGGCAACCTGTGGGGCCGCTTCCCACCATCTCTTTCTGTGGCTCTGACTCTCTTCTCTTAATTGTACCGGGGCAGGACACGGCATGACAGGAAGGCGGGTTCTGACTGCATGTGCGGAAAAGCTTCCGCACAGAAAGTTCGGCTCCACAGCAGAAGCCCCACCCGCCACTCCCAGAGCTCCCCTTCGCAGGCCGGGTGCAGATGGAAGCCAGCCCGCCCCGTCTCAGGATGGCTTCATTGGGATCCCCGCCCTGCGCAGAGAGGTGGAGTCCGGGGCCCCAGAAGGGCCCTTCCGTCTCCAGGATTCCGCAGGGCTCAGCCTCAGGGAGACTCGCCGCAGACCAGATGCCGTCCATGAACATAAACGACTCTTTGTCTTTCCCCCAGTGGTGGAGCAGGGCCGGTCCCTCCCCAGCCCTCCTCTGCCGGCAGCCCCGTGGGTGGGGGTGGTGCTGGCCTGGCAAGACCTTTCTCTCAGCCTGCCCGGGCCCCTGATTCTGCAGGACGATCCTCCCCACCTGGTGGCGCAGGCGTTGGCCGAAGCAAACAGCCCGGCTGCAGTCAGCCTCGACGGGGGGCTCTGCCAGGCAGCCCGGCCAATCTCGAAGGCCCGGAGATGTGGGCCCAGCCGCGCAGCGCGATTAGCAGAACACACGCGGTCCTCGCTGCCTTGCCGAGGAGCCGAGGCGTAGCTCCTCTGATGCTCAGGAGCATTATATGAGCAGAGCCTCCCGGTGCAGCAGAGCTGGGCCAGTTTGGTCTCTGAGGGAGAACAGGCGACGTGCACCCGGGGGCACCTCCTGGCAGAGCGGGCACTCTTGGCGCGTCAGATTCAAAAACGGAGTCTGAAATGGGCCAGCCTGGTCCGATGGGTCCAGCTGGCACAAGGATTTCTCCAGCCCAGGGGTGGCGACTCTGCCGCACAGAAGCTTACTGAAGGAGAATAAACACCACAATTAATCTCGTGCCACCGGAGCTCTGGTTCTTTGACAGCCTCAGAAGTCGCCCTCCTGGCCACAGAAGCCACCTCAGGGGGGAGAAGAGTTGCCTGCATAGATCTTCAGGTGCCAAGAGAACACAAAGGAGCAGAGGCTCACACAAAAGGAGGGCAAGCCAGGGTGAATTCGACAAGTGGGGAGGGAAGGTATTGATCAGACGTGCAGAGAACACAGAATGACATGGGAAGGCTAACACCCTGGAAGGCAGAAAGACATTTTGAAATGCACTTGATGGGCTTGAGAAATGGGCTGAAAACAATGGAATGAAATTGGACGGGGGCAAATGCAAAGTTCTTCGCTCAATGTCCTGCTGGTGCAATCAAACTCGGAAGGATGGGAAAATGCCAGTCCAGATTGCCCTACCAAGGACAGTTCCCTGGTAGGGATAATATAGAAAGAGTCCACCTGGAATACATACCTGAGACGGCCATCACGCTTCAAAAGAAAATTGTGGGGGCGAAAAAGGTGCCAGAATGGGCAGCCAGACCATGATGAGGGGACCAGATGAGGGGAAGAGAGCAAAGGCGACATTGTCCAGGGCTCTGGGGATTGGGGATGTTCCTTGGCCACATCAGCGTGGCTCCCTCCAGGCCTCCAGTCAGCAGCCGAGTCTGCCAGCAGAAGTTCTGCTGCCCCAATGGCCACGTTCTAACCCGCCTCAGTTCTGTGGCTTGGGTGGTCCTGTCCACCGCCAGCATTCAAGGCCGTGGTTGGTGAATTCCCACAGTCCCCTTTCCTCTCCCGAAAGGCCACCCCACCACTCTTCTTCAAGGCTTGGGTGAGGTACGGGCAGGTGCCCAAGACGGGGCTTTAACCACCTTTCAGGAGGCATAAATGACAGCCCCTGATACGGAACCGCTCTGCACTCAGGCTACTTCTGGACGTGGATCTCCTGCAAAAAAACCCCAGTGAACCTGTGTCCACAAACAGCCCAGTGTCACATTGGTGGAGATAGGAATGGGGGAGCAGGAGGGAGATTCCCTCTCTCTTCATCCTGGACCTGACTTCTGCCCATTCTCCTATTAGCCAGGCACTGTTTTATGGCCTTCCAGAGAGCCAGTAGTCCTGTGTTCAGAAGTAGCCTGAGTGACGGGTCACAGGCAAGGTAAAGGGGTTGTGCGAAGCACCGGGATCCTCCCTCCTGATTCACCCCTTGCCCCTCAGCGTTGCCTGTGTGTGGTCACTTCAGCTAGTAGGAGGAACTGGAACAACTCCTGCAATTTTTCCCAGGATCCTCCAAATCCCAGATGATAAGTGATGCCAGGCAAAAACGGTGCTGGCAGTGAGTGGCCACTGCTGGCAGCCATGGAAGGATCCCGTGAAGGATGCAAAGGGGTGCAGCAAAGTCATCGGAACAGTGGAAAGCGTGTTTGCAGGAAATCCCTCGCCAGCTACAGCAGTGGGAAATCTGTAATGCACTCATTTCAGACAGAACCAGGACTCAGCTACTTTCCCTAGTTTAAAATGCCTTCCATGAAGAGAGTGCCAGGCCTGGTATGTATGTATGTATGTATGTATGTATGTATGTATGTATGTATGTATGTAT